TGTTTATTTGCTATATATAATCTAAGTGCACATGAATGAGGTGCTGGAAAAACAAACACAGACTACGGAAGAAGAAACAATGTTCCAGTCATTTGTTTCAGTCATTTCCAGACTCTTCACAAGACCAAATGACAACCTTGAAGGCATTTTATTCTGTAATGTAGCAACTGAACTTACTGAACACTGAGACACAAATGCCAAGTCTGGAAAGTAAAGGTAAGTAAAAAAACACTGACTGTGACTTGAACGGCAGTTACACACACCACAATGCTTCCAGCAGAGCAGCTCAAACTTTTTGTGAGAAAAGTGTCCTAGTTTATATAACCTTGGCGTACTCTAATCCATCTCTTGACTCCATGATGCTTCAAATTCAGTACACAGTATTCTTTTTTTTTCTTTTCAAGGCGAGGCAGTAAACTACGGTTCTGCCAGTTTTCAAACCCTCTTTATGCACTCCCTAGAAGTCAATCTGCTGGAATAGTTCACATTACAGAACATGCAACCAGAGATGGCTAGTCTGAATTCATATGAATAAAGAAAAGCTTCACAGCACCACCTCAATGTTGTTAATTAAGTCCTCATCCTACCTTCATATACCATGCATCTGGATCCACACAATATATGGGCTGATATGCACTCTAACACTCTGTTTTTTAGAATGTCTCAAGTTCTAAAAAGAAAACATGGGGGGGCTTTGTGTTTTTCAAAAAGACTGAGATTTCAATTGAAAATCATTATTTTGTTAAACTCTTCAGTTTGCACATTAGTTTTCCCTTTGTGCTCCCTGCCTTGTATCTATAAAAACCCTAGTGTTAAAAATATCTGAGTGGCATTTTCTGAATAGAATTCTAGTGGATCAAGGGCATTTTGAGTGAAAAGCAGATTTCAAACAGAAGTCTAAAGAACAAAAAACCTGTCTAGTTGCTAAGAATACCTTGTGGGTAGTGATATGACACCCAGAAACCAGAACTTCTGGTAGTTAGGAAAATAAATTTAGAGGTAAGGTCACAAAAAAAAAAAAAAAAAAAAAAAATCTTTTTGCTATTTGATGTAAAAGAAGCAATGAGGTTTTTCTGTAATACAAGAAAAAAAAAAAATCCTTATCCAGTGAGAGCTAATAGTGCATTTTCCTTAAGAGATGACTGTCTAAGCAGCACTGAAACTTTAACGCACAGATTAGTAACAGCTGGTGCTGCAAGCATCTAAACTGTAGGGATGCACCCAATTCCTCTCCACTTCTATGATTTTCCTTTTGGTGCACAAGAACTCACAAGCTCCAGCTGAGGCTTTTGTACTGCTGGGGGAAACTTCCTTCTGGACCAGCCCTGCTTAGCATTATTTTGGTGCCCTATATTAACACTGAGCTCAAACTGTGCCTTATTCAGAGGCAGCAATACCCAGAATATTCCTTCTCTACCCATCTGCTAATTTTCAAGATATCTAAATAAACACTTTTTTGAGATGGCCATCTCAGCCAACGTGCTGCAGTGTTCCAAAATTTCAATTCTTTCCTTTCTCTCCCCACTCCAAAGACAGACACCTAAAACAGTCACAGCAGAGCATCAACTGTGGTCCGCATTAAATCACCTTCCTCCAATCAAGAAAAACACAACCTTTTACTTTTACCAGTAAATTTTCACTGGACGGCATTTTCAAAAGTAGTTAAACTGAATCTGATGTGTGTTTGGACAGCTAATTTTGTTTATCTTCCCAAGATACCTTCCAGCAGTGACAGACAAGTCAGCAGTTATGTGTCAACCGCTTTGTAAAACTGAAAAAAATAAATAAATAGGGCTGAGGAAGTTATCTAGTACTGGAACTGAGAGTTCTCAAGTTTATGTAAGGAAGACAGCAATGCTTGCCTGCCCAAAAGTTTTCTGGGAAGAAAATACAGGTTCGAAAGTGGCACTGAAATTCTAGCAGCAATAGCAGCCTTCACTATTAGCTGACTGGATCAGTCGTTATAGTAACCATCAACCTTTAGACGCCAAGCAGAGGAAATTCAGAGCGCTGTAATTCTTGCTTCTTTCCTATCTTTTCTATCGCCCTACTTCCCTTCCCTGTCTCCCTGATTAGGATTTGTAATAAACTGGTTGGACTAACATATGAACCATTGTTTCTTAATCTCACGCAGATATTAAAAGAACCTCATCTCTCTCCTATAAATTGGAGCAAGACATAAGCAAACTATGTGTAGGGGCTTGCAAAATGATCAGGACTTTTACTGAACTTCCAGCCAATAAGTGCAAGTGTTAGAAATACAAAAGTCTCTTAAGATCTCATGAGAGCAAACAAAACATCTCCTGTGTGATATGACGCACAAATCTTGCTAATGTAGAAAGTGCTGGATTACTTAAGGGCATTTTTCTTCCAAGGTATCAGAAGATATTTTTTATTTTATTTTTCATCATCTTTTACATGTATTTGACTTCCTTTCTAAGCTTTTAAAGACTCTGAAATCTTCTCCTGCATAGTGGCATTCACAGCACTTAACTATCCTTTCCAGAACCATTCAGAAATAGGATGTGAATGACAAGCCAGAAGTGAACAGGCACAGTTCTCAACAGACTCATTTTTCAGTGCGCAGAGCATCTGCTACGGGATATAGGAACACAACCTCTTGCATGACGTACATGCAGAGATGCAGTGAAAGATTTAATCTTTCAGAGATCTCCTAAATACTTTCAGTGTTTACTCTCTATGCATGTCTCCCCCATCTGTTCTATTTTTCTGCTGGCTGGACTATTTCTTCACCTCTCTCTGTTTGCAGTAAGAAAGAATTAAGGAATTCTCAACTTGCCACTTTGACTCTGCAACCTTTAACACTGCCTGTGCAGTACAACTCACTTCGTGCACACACAAAATGGGCCACAGCTCCCAGGTGCCTGCATTTCCCATTAGAAGTGTTGGCAAACCAGCTTCTATACCAAGGTAGCATGCTATTCAGTGTATGTTATAATTTATATAGCATATCATGTATATGATGCACACTGATTTACATTTTTTCATGTATATTAAAATACATCAATGATTTAGAGCCTCTATGAATACAGAACAATTTAATTGTTTGTGTAATCTATTTAATTTGAAGCTCAAAGGCATGCACAAATGTGTCTTCTGCATTAGGTGATTCACTGTTTTTTCTGTCTTCATGCAAAAACAGCTAAGTGCAACACCTACATTTGGGCCTGCTTTCTTGCTGCAGCAATCAAGCACAACTGCTTAGGCCTGTAACAAGTGCTTCCTACATACATTCATGCTTTTTGCCATCATCTCATCGCCCACAGGCTTTCAGGCCAGCCCAGATGCCCACTCTGCTACCTGTCTCAACTCTCCATGTGACTGAACTTCTGCACTACTCATATCTGCATTAGGGCATGGCCTTCATGATGAACCAAACCCCAACCCTGCATACCCCCAGTGGGACACCCTGTCCACGTGTCTGGCTTCTGCTTCTCAGAGACCAGCAGCCCAGGGACCAGCTCCTGCAGCCTACACCAGAAGGAGATGCAGGAAGCAGCATGACTAATTCAGAACAAAAAGCACTGAGTTCCAAGACTATCTATAGCAGGAAAAACATTTTGCAGATTCACAGGAAAGCTGGTAAGACTCTCCTGAATCCTCATCTAATGCATTTGCTGAGCCTACTGCCAGTCCAGAAATCAAGGAAAAGAATATGAGACCTGATTCCCAGCAGACAGTAAATAGAGGCATTTTTGCAGAAAGCCTAAATAAATACTGATGGACACGTATTTGGGCAAGTTAGACTTTGGTTACATAGAGATAACGAGTTCTGTTGCTGCAATTCCTCACATGGAGGTATTCTAAGGGGGAAGCCAGACATAAAAAGGCACTGTTCACAGTCTGGAGAATTAGTATTCCTGAGATTTTCTCCAAAAGTACACTGAAGATTTTTGTGCAACTACTGCAACAAAGCACTGTGCATTTGGGGTTACTTTTCTTTAAGAGATCTTCAGCTGACACAGGCTATCGATCCCCAGGTCTTGATCTTACCTGCACAAAAGCAGTTAGGGAAAGGTGAAACAAGCAGATTTGTTCCTCCAGGGTTCAGCTGCACGCTGAGGAACTAAGCTGATTCTCTATACTTCTCAGCAATAAAAGTTCCCTTGAGAGAAGCTTAACTGCACGCCAACAGAGGAGCAGTCTTGATGTGAGCTGGGTGAGATGCCGCTTCTCTGCAGCTCTGGTGGAACAGGGAGACACTCAGCAGCACTGACCTGCATGCAGTGACAGTATAAATGCGGGCAGGTGGTTCCTTGTGGCACCACGTAAAGTTCGATCACGTAAAGAGATTTACGCAACACGCAGTATGCACAGACCAGAATTCCACAGGAGGTGGACAGCTGCCTGAATACCCAGAAAAATGGTTAAAAAGGAAAACGTTGAAAAACGGCAAGAGCTCTCTTTCTTCAGATACTGTACTTCTGAAGGCAACACAAACACATCACCTGTCCCTCCTACAAAAATGAAACCCCTCTGCAAGTTTCAGCCCAGCCAAGACTGCAAGTCCAAAGCAACGGTTTGGAGCGACGACGGACACAGCAGGAAGGTGCTGCCCTTGGCGTGCCTTTCCCACCAACCACCTGCCTTTGCACCGATCCCATAAAGAACGAAGAAAAAGGCATCAAAAAGCAGCAGCAGCAGGACAGACAGGTGCGCACGGGAGATCCGACTGTTTGGCTGGAGTTGTTAGGTAACGAAAGACAAATCGAGGAAGCAAAGCAGAGCTAAAAGAGTGGGAGGGAACGCGACCAAGTCCTCTCCAGGTGTCGGAGGGATTTTCGCAACGCAGCGCTTCCCTCCGCCTGCACCTCCGCACATGCAGCCTTCTCGCTGCGCGCCGCAAGGGAAAACAAGAACGGGGTTCTCTGATCTCGAACAGCTCGGCACAAACCCGGGCACACCCGGCCCCCGGTAACAGCCCCGGCTCGAGGCCGCGCCGCTCTCCCGGCCCGACGGCGGCTCCCGGCCCCGCTCACCAGCTGCTTCAGGTCCTCCTCGCACAGCCCCGCGTAGCGGTACCGCTGCTGCTCGAACTCGTAGCGCGTCGTCTTCACCACCACCGCCACGCGCTCCGGCCGGAATCCGCCACCCGCCGCCCCCGGACCCCCGCAGCTTCGTCGCCGCGGCCACCATGGCCCGGTCCCGGCCGCGCTCGGCCCGGGGGAGGCGAGGAGACGCCGACGGGCTCCCTCGAGCAGCGGCAGCCCTATCGGGGCGGAGGTGACTCCAGCCGCCCGGCTGGCGAGGCAAAGATAGCGCCGCGGGACGGACATGGTCCGACCTCGCCCCGCTTCTTCTCAACACCGGAGGCGCGAGGGCGCAGCGCTGCCCGGCGGCTCCCACCCCGGCTCTAAGGCGGCCCCCGCGCCCGTGCAGAGAGCGGCACACATGGCGCGTCCGCCCCGCCACGCCCCCCGTCCGCCGCGCGCGCGCAGCCACAACCTCCGCCAATCAGGAAACGGGAGGGGCGCTGCTCCTGGGCTGGTCCCGCGCACGGCGCGCGTGCGCTCTTGCTGATCAAAGGAGGGGTGGGGGCTACCATGGGGCGAATGGTTTCCCGTCCGAGCCTTGGGGCGCGGGCTGCGCATGCGCTGGGCGAACGGCTGCGTCTCCCGCGTCCCTGTCTTTGGTGGGCGGGACGCAGCTCCAGGCACGTAGGCTGAGGTGCGGGATGTGCGCGGGAGCGCGGGGTGAGCCGATCCGCGTGGCTGCCGATCCGCGTGGCTGCCCCTGCTGCACCCTGCGCGGCCTTCTACGCAGCCCCTTTTTTTGTGCTCACAGAACAAAATAAAGTAACATAAAGCTGTTAGCGTCCTCTTTTAGGTCGTGCGCGCTCGCTGCTTAGCCAGGATTTGGGCGTCCCGGGGCTGACCTTGGCGAATGAGGCTGACTTCGTGGCTCCTGACAGTCAGGAGGGGAGGACTTGGAAAGTTGGAAAAACCAGTATAAGCCCTTTGTTGAGGAGCGCTTAACACGGCGTCCTGTGAGGATCGGGTGAGAAACGAGTTGTTGGAGAAGCCGCGCCTTTTATTCGTGACGCGGGTGTGCGTGCTTTGCGAGCCCAGCAGGAACGTCATCGATGCTCAGCTGCTTTCTCATATTGAGAGCCGCCTGGAAGTGCTGGCGTTTGAGTTTGCTTTTTTTTTTCTTCTTTTTTTTCCCTACCATTATGAATATCTGTCCTATCAAGAATTCTGTTTCGCACTCGCAGTACATCTACACCAAATGCTTTGCTTACGCACTTACCCAACTTCTTGTCCTGTGCCTGCACTTGCCCTAGGGAAGCAACAGCAGCTGTTTACCTGTGAATGCAGCACTCTTCTAAGGGGCTTTTAACTGGGAGCCTTAGGAAATGAGATGGCTGAAGGCATTCGACTGCTCCCCGCTATCCTGCAGCAGTACAAAATCTGGTCTGTACTGACAGGCAGAAGGATTTTCTGTCTACTGATTAGCTTAGCCTTGAAAGACACTACCACAAACCAGCTTATCAGGAGAGTAATTAAACGTAACTAATCCCCAGAAAATGCCTCATTCTGTATAACCATTAATTTTTGGATCATACAAAGTGGTAGAACATGTGGCAATATGAGATTTTGAAATGTTGTAGCTCAGTCCTGCAAGATACCTATCTTATAGCTCATTTAACTACTCTTCCAGGATTCTGTGCTTCTCACAGTACCTATTTATATTGAACTGCTTTGATCATTGTGTACAAATCAGCTTCAGTCGCTATGTCAGGCTTGAATGCAGAGCACTATTTTACTCTGTGGCCATACCGCTATCATGATAAGGTCTTTTGGATTGAGGCCTACAGCAAATATCATAGGTGCATACATTATCAGAACATGTGTTTTAAATTGTAAATTCAAGATGTCTTAAGATCTAAACCTCCTGGAAGAAGAGCTGAGGCACAGAAAATGAAGTGATTCATCCGTGACTCCCAAGAGGAAGTCTCAGGCAGAACCATAGAAAAAAAGTTTAAACTTCCCACAGCACATACACTGCTTTGTGCAACATTACTTTGTAAATAGGCCTACTTGCAGAACATTCAATAAATACTGTTTTTAAAAAGGAGAGACTGACCTTCTACATGGGTAGCTAGTGACAGGAGAAGGGGGAAGTTTAGGTTAGATGTTAGAAGGAAATTCTTCATTTGGAGGGCAGTGCTGCCCAAAGTGCTCTGGGTGCTCCATGTCTGGAGGTGTTCAAGACCAGTTGGATGGGCCCTAGGCAGCCTGAGCTGGTGGGGAGCAACCAGCCCATGGAAGCAGTCTCTAGTATTAAGTCTTATAAAATCCATGTAGAGAAAAAAAGAGGACGCTCCTCCCTCCTTGTCTCTTTTGTGCAGACTCGGTAACATTAAAAGCAGTATCAGATGTGCTAAAGGTTTTCCCTGTATTCATTCATTCATTCATAAATCATTCATACATTTAGTCAATAGAAACATTACTAGACTCTTAGTTTGTCAGCAGTAATTAAGAGGTCACTAAAGATGATGACATTGAAGAAAAAAAAGGGTGCTGAAATTAAGGAAAAGATAAAATGCAAGGAGACTTGACATTACGGATTTTTTTTTCCTTTTTTTTTCTTTAAGAGTATGGAATAAGTCATTAACGCTATCCTGTCCAAGTCAATTTTTCCAACAAGTCATAGTCTTAATGGCAGGTATCTGCATCCGTATCCTTTGATTAGGAATTTTTAATTTTCCCTCCTTGTGATAGTTATTCCTCTACTAATTCCTAAGAATTTCAAGCACTGCATCCTCTATATATACAAATTAATCACTGAGATTTGTCAGAAATTTTGCATCTAGAATGTATGTTCTTTAAATAAATAAATTTAGAATACTTTTCATCTGAAAAAGCACAGAAGTTGCTCCATGAACGCAAAATTAGTGATCTCTAACTTCATGTAGATTTGTGCCATGTGAAAGGTCCCTATGCCACTTATCAAGGCATAGGAACCACATTCCACCCTTCCATGGTTTTACTCTCTTCCCTCCCTCTTCAGACCACAGAATATAACAAGCTTATTGAGAAGCAGTTTCTTCAAAGCATACCTGTATCTGATTTTTGTCACCCAACAAACGCAAATTTTCATGAAAAACAGATATCACACCTCTCAACCAATTCTTCCAAATTCAACATTTGGCTCGAAGTGGTTCTGACAGAGAGATGGATGAGGTACATGATTATTTGAATCTTTTTTTTTCTTAGGAAAACAGGCTGGAAGTGCCATGGAAGGAACAGTTTGTAGGAAGCACTTTCACACGCAGTAAGACAAATGGATAGAAATAAAAGCTTAAGAAAATCTGTTTATTGTTTGGACATAGAAATGGTTACTGCTGCTGTCATAAAATGACAAATGTTACATTTTCAAAACCAAGTTAATACATTACATACCAGCACACCTTTAGTCTTAAGAGACACAAAAATTTAGTGCAATGAGACTAAATAAAATAAATAATGGATTAGGATCGCAAGAGTGAAACTTCTTACCTCATACATGTCTGCACATATATGTATTTATATGTCTTCTACTACCACACTCTCCACATTCCTCAGAGTATTCAAACATCTCTTTACCTCCACAGCTTGTAGGAAGTGTAGCTTCATTTTTAAGTGTGTGTGTGTGTTTGAGCAAATGTGTGTATACTGGTGTGTGAATGTATAATACAGTCTTGGGAAAAGGCAGCTCAGAGAGGTTTTTTTTTATTATTTGTGAATGATCATAAGCTTTGCAACTTTCACTATGGCAGTACATTACAAAGTTTTGAAGTCCTCTGTAAAAATTCTGGTGCATATACTGCGGTAGAATTTAGAAGTTGTGGGACTTTATGATGACACTCTGATGCTTAAAATCAGTTATATGGATGGCTTTGATTACCGGGGCAGACTTTGAAATCAAACTCTACATTCAGTGCACAACCAGTTGAGCTTCAGGGCAAAGTTCTCCCCATGACCTGTTGCTAAATACATAAGATTGCTGTTTTTTAACAACTGGAGAAGTTTTTGTAACATGGAGCTTTGTTCCTGAGTTACAGCAATGAAATATGAAGGTCAGTAATGGAAATGCTGTAGTGCTCAGGAGCAAGGCTGTCACAGAAGGACGCAGTGTACAGCTGTTCTAGAAAGAAATTTTCGTTATCAGCAAACTGAAGGGTGAAAAACCATTCCAGTTCTTCTAGAAACAGATGCTCCATTGCAAAGGCAAAAATCCAGTTCCATTTAAACTTGCTCTCATCCAGAAGTCAGAGAAGTGCTAATTTTGGCAGGCTGTGTAAGATTCAAGTAATCCAGATGCTAGTTCAGCTTCACCTGGGCTCTAATCTTGAGAATTTAGAAAGAAGCTGGAATTCTTCCAACTTCATACATATGTTCAGATGGGAGACTAAATTGTAACTTGACTCTTCAGGTATGATGCAGCTTTTAAGGCTGATAAACATTAACAACTTTCTTAATTAAAAGGACTTAAGATACTTCAGACCTTTTTTTTTTTTCTTTTTCTTTTTTTTTTTTCCACCTCTGAGAATGATCAGGAATTCATGTTTTGTAGCCAACAATATACAAGGCAAAAGAAGTCTGTAGCAGAGTGACCATAGACATACACTTTCTGTACCTGTAAACAGAAAGAATAGAAAGCACAGAGCATTAAATGGTGCCTGTGCAGTGCATGGGCTTGTGAAGGGTCTGGAAAGTCTTAATTCACAGGTGCATTTGGAGAACTGACCTTCCAGTTTACCATGAGATTGGCTAGGTAGTGAGCTAGTTGTGGAATCACTTCTACAAGGAGTGTTTGAGTTGTTAGTGCTGTTTGGATTATTGCACATATTTGACTAATGTATTAATCTCATGCTGTTCAGGGATAACTGTGGCTAGTAGGAAAGCAGAAACAATCTTAGACAATCTCAAAAATGTAAGATAGATTATATGCAGATCTCTACTTATAATGTCTATGTCTATTTATTTTTATGTATCTAACAGACAGTTAAGAGTGCAAGTGCTTGTTCTGTGCAAGCAAGAAAATGTTTGTAAGTGCAAACAGATTCACTTTTAGATTGCAATGCTCAGGCATCCCTTGGAACTTCTGCTTACAGTTCTTCATGTTGTAGTTGTATAGATGTAAGAGCAGAACCTAGTTCTTTGCCCTTTAACAAAACCTTCTGGTGACTACTCCACATATTAGAAACAAAGAACAACAACAAAATTCGATTTCTGTAGGCCTTTGTCATGTTGAACTGCCACTGACCATTCTGCTTGCATGTACTTACAAACAGGATTCCCTATAAAAGTCGTTACTTTAATAAAGCATCTAAGTATATTTAATTTTAAAATCTGAATCTCTTTTAACAGTTCTTGAACACTGGAATCCATCATGTTATTCTCATCTCAGTGCAAAGCAAGCTGACTGGAACCCTCAACTTGAGTCTCAAGTTTCTTCCCAATGTATTGAGCATAAACTGTTTATAAAATTAATCTTTGCTTAGAAGTCATAAAACAAAATTCTTCTGATTTCCTTCTTCCAGGTCCTGATGCATCTCCAGCATGTTGAGAAGTTGAGTCTTCAGTAGTCTGCTGTAAACTGTGGTACATTTCATGAGCAGACTACAGGCTGCCTGCGGTTCCATCTAGAATGATCTGAAACAGATTTAAAAAAAAATATTTCTTTAAATTTGAATGTATTCACATTTTGAAGCAAACTGGCATTTCATAATACCAAAGCAGTAGGTTAAAGTTTGGATACAATCAGTTCCTGGTTTAGATAAATATCTAACCAGATAACACAGGATTATTCACAAATATTTGAGCATGTGAATAGTGAATGAAGCCTGTGACTCCCCATGTCAATAAAGATGAGCACATGAGCACTTAAGGATATAAGGTGTCCAGACAGGACACTGTTTCTGGGATGCAAAACAACTTGTCTTCTACTGACTTAAGTAATTTGATGTTAATACTTAACAGTAGATGTCAGTAAACTGCGAGAAATACAACATATCTTCAAGTAACTTTATGGTCATGATAAAATATCCAAGGGTGGTTCTGGTGAGTAATCTAGAATGCAAAACCTCCAAAAGTGTATACAGTTGATGGGTAACATCATTCCCTCAGGATCTGCTGAAAAATTTCTGCTATCACCTGGCCACCTCTAAAGAGTTACTAAAATTTTTAAACCTTTTAAAGGTGAACGGAAAAAGCCTTGTATTTGTCAGAATATGAAATCTGAATCTTCCTCTTCCGTCCCCTCTCATCCCTCCAAAACTTTTCGTGATACATCAGCTTTTAAAGCCAATCAGACAGATGTCTATCTCTCTCTCTCTTTTTTAATTTTTCTTTGAGGCATTACTGATTTTCATTGCAAAGAATAAAGAAACTTGAACTTCCAACCCCCTCCCCCCCCCAAAAAAAAAAAAAATCAGACTTAATTCTTGTATTTTTTGAAATCACTAACAAATGTGTGTGTGTGTGATTGTGCTTGAATCTTTAACACTGGATAAGAATTTGAATTGACAAGAAATGTCAAAGATAGCAGGAGTTCCTACAGTGTTGCTCAATATTAGTTTCTTTAAAAAGCTTTTTTAAGAAATTTACTTTAAAAAGCAACTGCAACAGCAACAACACTCTCATAACAGAGATCTTACGTCTTGATAAACAACAGGAAATGACAGAGTTCTAATGAGGCCAATACAGGAGATATGTGTACAGTGGACTAGAAAATTTCTCTGTCATAAAACAAAACCTAAAGCATTTCCATAACATGATACTGTTCTGTTCTCAGCATCACTAGTCTCCAAAATCTGTGATGGATTCTTGGTGGATCCACACAGGACACATTATGTCTCCAATTTATTTTTCTCTTAAGGCTTATGGTTATGTATGGGTAGAATTCTTGGGACCTACATAGTCCTGTACATCGACAACTTTGAATTCACTCTAATAACTTCTAAAAGAAAATTCCATACCAGGTAAGAAAATGCACTTCAATAAAACTAGAGGATCCCTCAATCAGAATGAACTTTGAAGCAAACGTGAAAGAGTTAATGGTGAGACATAACTCATAAAGCATTCATTTGCCTACTGATAACTGTCACCTTTGTCCCTCACAATCCTGAAGTGTTATAATAGCATTTTGGATTTAGAAAAAACTGCCATTATTTGAGAGGTATAAAACTTTTTTTTTTTTTTTTTTTTTTTTCCACAAGGAAATATGGAAGTTTCTCATTTTACAGACCTTCTAGTATTTCTGATATTTAGAGATGTAAACAAAACATTATTCCTTTGAAGAAAGGACAGAAATCTCCTTAAAGGTCGTAAAACCTTTTAAAATGATCAGAAGCAAAAATATTCTCAGGAACATCTTATTTATTTAGGAGCCTAAGCAATGACTTCTGATCATGTTTTGCTAATGGTAAGCTTAGGTATTGTGGTTCTAAATAACAGATCCATATTCTTGCTGGTTGACTTTGTGAGCCTGACATAGATACCTCTTTTGTTTTTAACGAGTGGAAAGATGAAAGCATCTTGCAAAAGATTCAGAGCCTAAATTACAGAACCACCTATTCCAAAACTATATGTGGAACTTATGTGTATTAGTAGAGGAATTCATTACTCCCAAGTGCTGAAATTGTGACAGCCAAAGGACTTAAAAAACAGCTGTTCACAATCTGCGCAGACTGAATCTGCACAGATACCTGACATAGGTCTGCCAGCATATAGGAAAATCACAAGCAGATGTTTGAGATCTATAAGCCAAGGCAGAGGAGGAAATGGCAATGGTTTGCACATTACTTTACTCATTGCAGCACACATATTGGATACTAGTTCCTCCTTATCCACAGGGTTTGGGTCCTTCTTGCCTACAATGACCCATCTCCCTTACCCAGCTATTCTGTACACTTGGGTAAGGAACATTCTCCATTCTGTCTGTAGAAGCAGATACATCATACAGCAGAGAATATGAAGTTTACAAATGCCAAGATAAGAAAAACAAGAAAGGAGAGTCATACAATTGATAGCAATGCTATTCCCCTCAGAAAGGAACAATCTAATTCTAATTATTTGCATATTATCCTACCAGCTTTTCTCATCATTTTATTTGTTAAATCATTTAGTGAGAACATTTTTCCCATTACCATAAAGAATTCTGCTGATCTCTTCTCAGCTAGATATTACAAAGACAATTTGAGGCAAATGTAGTGAAATATTGAGCAGGCAAGTTATATAAAGGGAAGGAGAAATTTGCCTAACTTTTGTCAGTCTAGAAGTTTGCCATCTATTCTAAATTCATCTCCTCAGCTCACTTTGTAGTTAGTGGGAAAAATAGACACTTCTAAGAGAGTGATTAATGCCAACCACTCTCAAAAATTGATTGAAGTTGGATGAATTGTTCTGTTTCTCTCCATTCAAATTTAAACATCATTTTGTTGCTGAAAGTATCTGAGTTGTAATTAGTGAAATATAAGGTAATAAAAATATCAGAAAAATCAGCTTACTATTTATGGATCTTATGAAAACAATATCTTTACTTGAAAGTGACACAATTCAAAACAATTGTCTATACTGAATAATAGAAATACCTCTCCTACCTTTTACAGAGTCCTTATAAAGGGTTAATGTTCTGAGGACAGTACAGTGAAGAACTGCATGTAGGAAAATTTATTGCAAGCATATAGCATCACCTTGCTGTTCACGAACACTTCACTAATATAAATTCTATTTGCTTTTATTCAATCTTTTACATCAAAAATAACTTTGATTATTTTTTTCCATGTCTTTTACACTGTCATGAAATATATATTATAATCTAGGGAACAATGTAACTTCAGTTTAACACAGAAGTTAAGAAAAGAGAGAACTGTATTAAGAAAAAAAACTGTATTAAGAAAAGAGAGAACTGTCATTGCTTTTTTTTTGAGACAAAGCAGGTAGAACATAATTAAATAAAATAAAAATAAAATCTAAGCATATTTTTTAATCTGATTTCCTGTAATGAAGCAGTCACTGAGAAGCTATGCGTCTCATAGTAGCCTAATCTAAAGATTGGATATTAAAAATCTTTCTCCTCAGAAGAACTGGTCATGCATTGGAACAAGCTGCCCAGAGAAGTGGTGGAGTTACTGTCCCTGGAGGCACTTAAGGAAATGGCAGATCTGATATCTAAGGACATGATTTGGTGGGCAATATTGGAAGTAGGTGGATGGTTGGACTGGGTGATCTTAGAGATTCTTTCCAACCTTAGCGATTCTACAATTCTAAAGGAGAGACAATCCCTGGAAATGAATGAAACATCATTCATACTTAAATGAAAATGAAAATGTAGGCTCTTTATCAAGTGTTCTTAAATATGCAGGATCTGATTTCTTGCATCCAAATACACATTTCTACTTTAGAATTTAAAATTGACCTCACCTTATTTAAAAAGCTATGACTACAATCTCCTGTTTTGGAAAAGAAAGTTCTAAGGACAGACACATGTAAGATGTGAATGTCTGCACAGAAAGTGGGGCTTGGATACCACTGACTGAAATTTATGCAAAATTAAAACCTTGTGGCTTTGAGAATAATAGAAGAGATAAGCAGGGAATGATAGAAGTCATCCAAAAAGCATTTGAAAGGGATTGCTAAAACTGCTGACAGGAATTGTTTGAACACAAATAAAAGACAGAAGCTTAAACTAAAGGGCTTGACACTCACGAACACCTGACAGTCGTATTTCAGAATCTGTTTGCTGGATGCCATTCGAATATTTGTATCACAAATCTCTGCAAATCAAAGTAAATATTTAACTAGTAAATCTGTGCTCCCAAACTGCTTTTATATTCCCTTTCACCTCTTTCTTTTCTTTCTTCTTCTTCTTTTTTTTTTTTCCCCTAAAACAACAAAGAGTTCTTATCACAGTAATCCTTGGAAAGGAATCAAACTCCATCCACAGTTTTCAAGTTACCTGAATCTTTGTAAAGTCAATAGAGATTATTTAGGAATTAATGAGGGAATGTTTGATTAGCTGGAAGCAGTACAGGAGTTTTCAAAGGAAAAAAAAATTCCATTTCCTAAACAGAATGAAGGTATTTGTGAGAAAATTTTGTGTGAGAGCATCATACATTGTTTAGGGCACTGAATGCTACTAAAGTGTATTTCAATAACAACTGATCATGGGAACAAGACTATAAGCTGCGATCTGTCAAACGGGGAAAAAAGGCTTGCATGTTTTCCTTAAGCAAACAGTTACTCATAGCTGTTGGTTGTACATGACTTATTTCTGTTGAATACTTGTTAAAAAGAAGTGAGTATAAGGACAGTATGTTACTTAAAGAGGGAAGCAAATTCTAGGAGCAACAACTCAGACCTTCCTGCTTTAGTCCTACGAAAAGAGAGTTCAATTGGTAGCTTCTGTATTCATAGCGGCAGTTTGGCACAAGTGAGTAAATTTCCTCCAGAAATGTGTCTTGTTTTTCTGCCAAGACAGAAGAGCTTTTAGGCCTTTCATTTTCTAGAGCAGCATTAAGTCAGTTTGTCCCTTACGTCCTGTTTTAGCTACATTCCTTACTTTGAAGAGCCTACATTCTTATTATGTTAAAAAAAAAAACCTGCCAAAACAGCTGGCATGGCTGGCATGTAAATCTTGAACCAGGAGTCTCTTAGAGAAGTACTTATTAGAACCAATCAAAAATCAGTGCTTTAAACAAAGTTAACTAGAACAAAGTAAATATTGTTTTAATAAACACACAGTGCTTGAAGGCATTAATAACTAGCTACTTGATGATGCATATGGACTCAACTTCTACTCATTCACGTAAGAAGTATCTCAGTGCCTCCAGTCATATCTACTGAAATGTACTAAAGATTTCAGATAAAGGTTGACAATATTAAAATTCCTTAACTCTCAGCTTTTTTTTTTCAAAAAAATATTCCACTGCTATAAAGCAAACAGGCATTAGCACTGATCACTAGTGATGTTCTCCAGGGCTCATTTCAAGAGCCACTCCTGTTCAACACTGATGATGCAAGACTGGAATGCATGCCCAGCGCATTTGTCAATGCACAAAAACTGAGAGGTGCTGCTGGCTGCCTGGAGGGATGAGGCCTTCTGGAAGGATCTAGATAGCACTGGGCAGTCAGTGACACCATGGAGTTTAACAGGAAAATTCTGGGTACTGCACTTGGGAACAAGCAGTGCAAGACACGGGCAGGGATGGGAGACAAATGGCTGGAGAGCAGCTCAGCAGGAAGGAACTTAGAGATTCTGGGGACAGCAGCTCAGCATGAGCCAGCAGTGTGACTGGGCAGCCAAGAGAGCAAACTGCCCTGTGGGGTGCTGTGAACACAGCACAGCTAGCCAATAAAAAGTTGTCATTTTCCAACTATTCTTTTGTTGGAGCAGCCTCACCTTGAATATTGTGTGCTGTTCTGGGCACCACAATGCAAAAGGAATGTTAAAGTGCTTGAAAGAGTCCAGAGAAGGTCAACAAGGGTAGAGAACAAATCCCACGAGGAGTGGGTAAGGACATTTAGATTGTCCTATCTGGAGAAGAGGAGGTCATGCGGCAACCTCATTGCTCTCTATAGCTCCCTGAGAAGGGGAAGCAGAGAGAGATGCTGGGCTCTGCTCCTGGAAACTGATGACAGGATGGGAATGGCACAACGCTGCACCAGGGCATTGGACATGAAGAAAAATGGCTTCCTGAAGAACAGACTTCCTAGCAATCCCCACTCCTGTCAGTGTCTAAGAATTGTTTAGATAATGCCCTCAGTTATGTGCTTTAACTAGCCCCGAAGAGGTCGCACAACTGGGCTTGGTGATCTTTGTAGACCCATTCTAACCAAACTATTCTATCTACCACTTATCTAGTAAAATCTAGCATCATAATAGCAGTCAGCTGGAAGGAGTTACTCTCACCTACTTAGCAAAGAGTATCTATAACATAAATTTTGAGTAAAGTTACAGTCAACATGAAAAAAAGTACAATTTTATTCCTTAGAAGGAAAAAAAACCTTGTAAGAATTACAGCACCTTGGGAAAAATTCTGCTTACCGGATCCACTGCTGCTCACTTGAGTTATTTTTTCATCATCTTCATCACTGTCACAGTTTAACAGATGAAAAGCTGTCTCTGACTCTGTGTCTATTTGATTAGCATCTGATTCTTGCTCAGCACAGCTTCGCAATGCCACAAGGCGGTGATGTATTGCTGCATACAAATATCCAGCATCTTTAGATCTTGCCTGCAGAAAATAAGATTTAGAGTCAAAATTAACTAAGAAACTTTATTTTTACAGAGAGGCTGAGAAGTTTTCAAAAGCAATAAAATAACTTTATTTTGATTGTGTTTGTTTTGTTTTTGTTTTGTTTTTTTTTTTTAAATCAAAATAATGTATATAAGATTCACAGTAATTTATTTCTGAGAATAGATTTAAACACAAAGGATGTCAGATTCCCTTCAGTGGTTGAAAATTTAAAATATATTGATTATTTTATCTATAATTACATGAAAAAAAAAACCCTTAAAATTATCTGCCCTGAAGAATGGCTGTACTGAATATATCATACTCCAGACAATTCCTAAATATATTTCTGGAACAAATAAAGCATTTGAATAGTAATATACGTGTTTGCATTTGGATTTACAAAAGAAATAAAAATTTTAAAGCCTAACCACAAAAAAATATAAATTACATTTATTAACCTTAAAAATATAATGAACTGCAATTTTTAAATCAAGAAAGGATGTGAAAACCAGACAGACATTTTGCCAGTACATAAAACTTTAGAGCAGCCATGTCCTGACTACTATGTTCTACTCTGGTTATCATATCTCAAGCACAGAATTAAAGATGGTACAGAGAAGGATACTCAGAATGATAAAGGCGTTGGAACTGGCTGGCCAGGGAAGTGGTGGAGTAACCAGTCCTGAAGGGGTTCAATTGTAGATGTGACACTGAGGGTTTAGTTTGATGAGAAATCAGCTACAGGACACTAGCTGTTTCATTGATAACTGTACAGGCAGCTTCCTACACGTTTTGCCACACTCATACAACTGTACCTTGGCTTCTCAATACACGTCTGTTTTTATTGTTTAGAACTGTCAGGACAAATCTTATTAATGTTAACATGTCTATACACTAGAAAACTGCATCACATCTGGAAATCTAGGACATTTCTAATGTGCACATGCAGACTGGCTGCACAGCACAGTCAGAGTTAGTCAATCACTGTTAGAAAGTGATAGGCTTACAGTGCTTTCATAAACACTGCATGCATGTATTTTGCATGTGTGTTAAATGGGACACCTCCTGTAAGCAGCAGTTTTCTTGCCCAAGTGGTTGAACCAGAAAGGATCTAGTAGGGAACATCATACCTTTATGTGGTAATTACTTGCAAATAAGTCCACCACATTTCCATGCTCCACTTACCAGCTCCAGCCAGAGAAAACCAGTATTCCCAAGACTGCTGTCTTACGTAAAGCCACATTACAAAATCTGTGTTCTTTCTCAACTCTGAAATAGAGGTTCTAGACCAGATGGATCATCACAGAATCACAGAATGGTTGAGGTTGGAAGGGATCTCTGGAAGCCACATGGTCCAAAACCAAACTCAAGCAGGGACATGCAGTAGGTAGCCTAGGACTGTGTCTACATGGGCATTGAACATCTCCAAAAATAAGAATCCACTGTCTCTTTGGGAAACCTGTGCCAATGCTCCATTGCCCACACAGTACAGAAGTGTTTGTGGATGTTCAGAAGGAGCCTCTTTTGTTCTAGTTTGTGCCAATTGCTTCTTGCCCTGGAACTGGGTGATACTGAAAAAAGACTGGTTCCATCTTCTTTGTATTCCTCCTAGAGTTATCATAGACATTGATGTGATACCCATAAATCTCCTGATCACCAGGCTGAGCAGTCCCAGCTCTCTCAGCCTCTCCTCACAGGAGACATGCTGCAGTCCTCTTGTCATATTAGTGGCACTACTGTAGACTTTATAGCTCCATGTCTCTGAGTACTGGGGACGCTGTACTGAACACAGGACTCCAGCTACAGCCTCACCAGCAGTGATTACAGGAGGACAGAGAGGATCACCTCTCTTGACCTGGTGATACTGCGCCTAACACCAACCAAGAATACATTTAGCCTTCTGATAAGAAAGGGCATATTGCTGACTCTTGTCTTTAGTCCACTGGAACACTGGAACACTTAGGTCTTTTTCTGCAAAGCTGCTTTCCAGATGAAGAGCCCCCAGCTCATACTGATATGTTAGACTGTTCCTCCTCAGTTGCAGGACTCTGTACTTCATTAGACTCAGCTGAGCTCTGCAGTCTGTTCAGATCCCTCTGGATGGCTGCACGACCCTCTGGTGAGTCAGCCACTTCCCCAGTTTTGTGATATTTATGAATTTACAAAGAGTGAACTCTATCCCATTGTTCAAGTCATTAATGAAGATGTGATACAGAGCTGGACCCAGTACTGAATCCTGGGGTTACTGGCCTACACCTAGATAGACCACTAAACAACTACCATTCAGGCCCAGCCATTTAGTCAGTCTTCAGCCATCCTCACTGTCTGCTCCTCCAGCCCGTGCTTAAGTAGCTCACCTGTGAAGATCTTACAAAGGACATTATTAAAGGCAGAGGCTTTATTGAAGTGCAGGAACACAATATCCACTGCTCTCCCTTCATCTATCAGGCTGGTCATATAATTAGAGAAGTCTGTTGGTCAAGCATGAGAAGTGTGCAAGCACTGTGTCCAGAATCACAGCAGAAAGCTGCTGCCTTGTTCCTAGGTGACTTATGAATGCGTGACTACCTGTGTAGAAATTCTTACTATGTTGCCTCTCTAAGAAACAGTAAGTGATGCATGCCATACTATGGAACAACACCGATTCAGTGGTATGTGAACCAGAATCAAGAAGTGTCTCTCCTGAGGCAATATCACATCTTCATACCTTTTTTGAATGATGGGATAACACTGCTAACTCATTTCATAACAAAAGCCATACAAAGCCTAAGCTAATCATAGCTTAACAAGACATAGAACGCTATTTGCTATAACCATAGCCCCAGCAAGTTTTCAGAAATCTAGATGAGGTGGGGATTTGGGTGGGATTTTCTCTCTTGATTACCTGAATTAGAAATACTTGAACAGAGTGGTCCTCTTGATCTGTTGCTGTGAAACACAGGCTTTTACTGTTTGCTCTTTGTAACACCATTTGACCCCAGAGTCTGGTGTTGAGAATCAGTCTCAAGCTGCCTTGATTTCGCATAACTAAAATAAGAAGGTTCATACATAAGTGATTGGAACTGTCTTCCTTTTTATTAGCAGTTTCTCCCAGCACTTCCATGCAACTAATATTTTCAAAATACATTAATTTCTTTAATAAATCTGAAAATAATCTACTGAAACTATAACGCATTACAAAAATGACAGCACAGGAAAAACAGCATTCCAGAAGTGTCTTGAAACAGTGCTGATGCACAAACTGTCAGACTGGTAGCAAATTTGGAGATATACTTTCCAGCAAAAAGACACAGAACCTCACAACATGAGTATGTGGGCATACACAAGCCATATGAAACACCCAGAGGCAAGGAAGTGCCTCAGTTTGTAACAAAGCCAACTCCATCAGGTAAGGATATAAAGATTCACAGCAGCTTGATTTAAATAAAATTAGCTACTCAGTTTTAAACGATTAGAGAGAAACTGATTCTAGTCAGGAACAGTACAAGTTAATCAGTCTTTTGTGTATGTGTTACTTTGTTATTTAATTCTTACTCAGCCTCGATTGCAACATGCCACATTTATTGCTGGAAGTGTCATTAAGCCTCAGGGATCCTCTGCCTTTTTCAATCCAAGTTAAAGAAAGTTTATTAAATAGGAAGAGCTTGCAGTTAATCTGAAAAAGAAACACATGTTGGAAATTGTGATCCACTGTTAACTTTATTGGTTTTAAAACTTTATGCTTTTAAATTTTCTGATGTGGCTTTGAATACATATGTACGCATGGATACAGGATAGATAAATAGGTACACTGACATTTTTACATAAGGAAAGGACATCCTAATTTGTGCTAAACTTTAAGTTATTCTTTGAAAACAATCAACATGAATTTGTGGCCAGCAGGAGCAGGGCAGTAATCATCCCTCTATACTCAGCACTGGTGAGGCCACACCTCAAGTACTTTGCTCAGTTTTGGGCCCTTCACTACAAAAAAAAAAAACCATTGAGGCCCTGGAACGTGTCCAGAGAAGGGCAATGAAGCTAGGAGGGGTCTGGAGCACAAGTCTTATGAGGAGTGGCTGAGGGAGCTGGGATTGTTCAGTCTGGACAAGAGGAGGCTCAGGGGAGACCTCATTGCACTCTACAACTTCCTGAAGGCAGGTTGTGATGAGGAGGGGTTTGGTCTCTTCTCCCAGGCAACAAACAGGACCCAAGAAGATGGCCACAAATTTGTAAGAGGAGGTTTAAGATCAGACATAAGGAAAAACTGTTTCTCTCCGAGAGTGGTCAGGCACTGCAATGGCTGCCCAGGGAAGTGGTGGAGTCTCCGTCCCTGGCAGTGTTCAAGAGGCGTCTGGACGAGGAGCTGTGAGATATGGTTCAGTTTGTGGTAGCATGGTAATGGGAGGATGGTTGGACTAGATGATCTTGTAGGTTGTTTCCAACCTTGTGATTCTGTGATTCTATGAATTCTAGTTTACTTTTACAATTATTTAATCTTCATTAATTCTTCATCTGTGATATCCACTGACAGGTTAATGCATTGCAAGTGCTCTAATAGCATATTCCCTCATTCACTGAAAAAGTTATGTACTTGTTTATAAAGGCGATTATTAAATGACACATTCTTTCCCCAAAAATGTTTTGTCATTAAAAAAAGCTTTACTCAAATTACTTCTAATTTTGATGTTTCAGTTACAATAGCATATGGATATAATATGAAAAAGAAAATTTAAGACAGGGAAAAAAAAAGCAGAAGTGTATCTTAAAAAAACTTAAAATTTAAAACATATAGTGATGTTATGATTGCTTCAGAAGTAAATTCTATAAATATAGTAAAATTTAGTAAATTCGGATTTAGACGTTCTTTTCATCAACAAAACTGCTGACAATCAGGGTGTTATGAAATACATACCTGTAATACATTGTGTTCTTCTTCTTCTCCAGTTATAACTTCAACTTTATCTAACAGAATTTTCTCCCCTGGCGTGGAAATATGAGCAGCTGCTGACTCAGTCTGTGTTGCATTCCTCAACAGAGCTGTTTCTGTAGGGAAAGAAAGAAGGAAATCTTTATTTCTGTTGAATGAGTATTTTTAGCATGCATGGTGGCCTGTGAATTCAGTACTCCCTGTGGCATCCAATGTCATTTAGTGTTATTCCACTTTTGTCCAACTAGAAGGAAAAAAAGTTGGAATACTGCAAAATGTCTCAGATATTCATGACCACTGTGAATTGAATGGGGCTCTCTTGAAGATGCAGTGATCTGCCCCAAGGGACGAGTTGCAGAAACAAGCCCTGAACAATTAGAAATTGATTTTCTAGATAAAAGTGGTTTCTAATAATGCTCAGGAGATTAACATATAATGAAAGGCATATGTCCCAATTGATGCAGGTATTATACATGTTCTCTATGTTGTTTGTTTTTTTTTTCCTTTTGATTTGAAAGAATGTATCTGCAAAAGAAGATCCTATAATCCTACCATTAGTAGAGAAGAGTGCAAAGATGGCTAAATGGGGACCCTTTTGGGATTCCCTTACAGCTAAGGTTTCTGTGTCTTGCCTAGCAGAAAAGCTGCCCAAAAAAGTCACAAATAACCCCTGAAATCTGTCTTTACAGAAGTTTCAGTTACAAATACAGAAGTATTCAGTTACAAATGAATACGAACAGCAGATAGTTTAAAACCATAGTTCAGAAACGCATTCTGAAAGTTACTCACTAAGCTCACTGCACTTTTTCAAGTATCAAACAGCAGTTAAACTTTACCTTTTCCTGTGTAACTTAGATAATTCATTTTGAAGTCAGTCTAGTTCAGATCTTATATACCAAACTGCAGCTGCTTTCTGCTGCAGCATTCATTTGTCATCCTGATCCATTACTGAGAGAGGTCTGCTGCTTATTGCTCACATCAAGGAGGAAAGAGCAGCTGCCAGAAGAGAGTTGGGGGAAGAGAGGTTGCCACACCTTGTACATCCCACTGACTACTACCTGCTGTTGCTGTTTCACACAGGGACAAATGGTACAGCTATGAGCAGCATGAATATCAAGAAGGACTAAAGAAGCTGGGAGCAGGAGTGAAGGACTTAGGAGCACAGGTAGTTTTCTTATCAGTCCTCCCAGTTAGGGGAGAGAAAGCACTGATAAAATTAAAACAAAAAAAAAAAAAAAAAAACCAACAAAAAAACAATATGTGGTTAAAGGAGAGGTGTCATGAACAAGGCTTCAGTTACTTAAGTCACAGAAGCTTTGAGAAACCATCCCCAGGTTAGAGTTAAAGGGAATGCAGGAGAAGGAGATGTAGTGAAGATCTGCTATAGGCCACTGATCCAGAAAGACTGAGAAGCTTTACATTCAAAAAACAGGATACTCTCACAGGGAATTTTACCCTCTCTGATGTATGTTGTAAGAATGACACAGCAGAGCACCAGCTGTGCTGATGATAACGTTCTCTTCCAAATGGTACAGGAACCCACAAGAAAAGGTGCCATGCTGGTCCTTGTCCTCACCAACAAAGAAGGGCTGGTGATGACATGAAGCTCAAGAGCAGTCTTAGCTGTAGTGACCATGAGTGGAGTTAAAAAGATCCTTAGAGTATAAAAGAGGGTGCACAGCAAGCTTGCTGCTCTAGACTTCAGGAGAGCAGACTTTGACCTCTTCAGGAAACTGCTTGGCAGGGTGACATGGGATAAAGGCCTGGAGGGAAGAAGGGCTCAAGAAAGCTGGTCAGTATTCAAGGACCTTCTCCTTCAAGCCCAGAGGAGTGCATCCCAAGAAAGAGGAAAGCAGGCAAGAATGCCAGGAGGCCTCTGTGGACAAACGAGTAGCTCCTGGACTTATTTTGGTGCAAAGAGAAAATCTATATGGAGTATAGGCAGGAACAAAATACCTGGGAGAACTGCAAAGAAGTTGTCCAGGCAGCCAAAGATAGGTTAAGAAAGCTAAAATGCAAGTAGAATTAATCTAGCCAAGGACTTAAAAGGGAACAAGAAGTTGTTCTATAGGTATATCAGTGATAAAAGGAAGGCTAGGGAAGATGTAAGCCCTCTCTGGGGGCTTACCAGAGACTTAGTTACAAGGGATACAGAGAAGGCTGAAGTGCTTATTGACTTCTTTGTCTCAGACTGGAAGGAATGGAGTGGTGAGCAGGACTAGGGAAGTAATCCTTCCCCTGTCCTCGGCACTGGTGAGGCCTCACCTCAAGTACTGTGTTCAATTTTGGGAACGTCAGTACACAAAGGACATTGACATGCTGGACCAGGTCCAGCAAGGGCAACAAGGCTTGTGAAGGGCTTGGAGAATGTGTCCTATGAGGAGAGACTGAAGGAACTGGGGGTGTTCAGTCTGGGAAAAAAGGAGGCTGAGGGGAGACCTTATTTCTCAAATACATGAAAGGAACTTACAGTGAGAGTGGGGCTGGTCTTTTCTCACTAGTGACAGGTGACAGGGTGAGGTGAAATGGCCTCAAGTTGTGCCAGGGGAGGTTTAGGTTGGATATCAGGAAAACCTGCTTTACAGAAAAGGTTGTTAAGCACTGGAATAGGCTCCCCAGGGAAGTGGTTGAGTCACCATCCCTGGATGTGTTGAAAAACTGTTTGGATGGGGTGCTCAGGGACATGATTTAGAGGAGGGTGGTTAGTTAGGGTAGTATGGTTAGGTTGTGGTTGGACTTGATGATCTTTAAGGTCTTTTCCAACCTGATTGATTTTATGATTCTATGACTGCACCAGCAAGGGCTCTAGCCATGCTGCCCAAGTTGCAGAAAGGAAGGTAAGAAGATGGAGAAAGAAGATCTGCCCTCTGTAAGTGAAGGCCACATTCAACATAATATAAAGAAACTGAAGATGCACAAGTCCATGGGCCCTAATGAGATCCATCCATGGCTTCTGAGGGAACTGGTGGACAGCCGCTTGGCAGTTTCATCGTAATTGAAAGGTCATGGCAGTTTGGTGGAGCTCCCACTGACTGGAAAAGGGGAAACATAGCCCCCAAAGGAAAAAAACATCCAGGGAACTACAGGCCAGCCAGTCTCACCTCTGTGCAGAGTAGATCATGGAGTAGATTCTCCTGAAGGCCCTACTACAGCACGTGGAAAATAAAGATGAGGTGATTGGAGGTAATAAGCATGGCTTCACCAAGGGCAAATCATGCCTAACAAACTTGGTGGCCTTTTATAATGGAATTACAGGCATCAATGGATAAAGGAAGAGCAACTGACATCATCAACCTGGATTGTAGACTGACATTGTCCGGAATGACATCTCAGTCACTAAACTGGAAAAAAAATGGATCTGCTGGATGGATCACTCGCTGGATAAATTACCTGGGTGGTGGCACTCAGAGGGTTGCAGTGGATGGCTCAGTCTCCAAGTGGACACTGGTCATGATGAGAGGCGTTCCTCAATAACTGGTGCTGGGACCAGTGCTATTCAACATCCTCACAGGAAACATAGACTGTGGGATTGAGTGCACCCTCAGCAAGCTTGCAGATGACACCAAGCTGAGTGGTGTGGTTGACACACTAGAGGGAAGGGATGCTATGCAGAGGGATCTGGACAGGCTTGAGAGGTGGACCCATACCAACCTCATGAAGTTCAACAAGAACAAGGTCCTGCATTTGGGTGGGGACAATCCCAAGCACATATATAGATGAAGGGAAAGTCTAAAGCACAAGAATTGGAACTTAATGGTCCCTTCCAACTCAAACCATTCTATGATTGTATGATTCTAAACACAGACTTCACATGCAAATACATAATAGTATTCTGGAGATTGGACGTGCCAGTAACATTTGAAAACTACTTGGCACAATTCATTTGACACCGCCAAACACACTCAAACATGCAGTATGAAGACTAATTGTACTTTTTTGCTGAGTACGCTTACTTGTTACATGAAAAGATTCTATGTAAAGTGATGTTATTTCTCTTTTGTATGAATCAACTTCATTGCATGACACAGAATGCTTTTCAGGGCTCTAGAAAAAAAAAGAAGGGAAAGTAAGATTTCATAGTTATATAAAGAGGCTATATTACTTCTTATCAGACAGAACACTGAATGTTTTACTGAACGGCAGGGAGAAGATTTGGAATTGTAATACATTATGAGTAAAACAACATAGATTATACAATTTTATTCTTCATTGGAAGTAATTTTATTGTCATAAAATCAGTACATCATCCTGCCAAGAATTATGGCTTCTTTGTAAGGATCCAGGACTAAGCTTTAAACACGTAAGTCTATCAGTGGATTTAAGTTACAGCTAATTTCCAATTTCATACTTAAACCCCAGAATAGCTCAAAACTTCCAGATACCACACATTTAATATCAGAGGAATTAAAACTTTCAATCTTTCAGTTTTTCAGATTAAGCTTCTTATCCATGTTTTAAATTAACACTAATGACTTCTTACAATACTGTGACTAAACTATCTTACATATGAATCTTTGTCAGAAGCTGCAAACCAGCCCTTCAGTTCTCAGTTTTTTTCACTGGCAGATATGCATATTTTTTTCACTGTACTCTTACTAGAAAGTGAATTTTAATTCCACCCTGAGTGGTATAGTCCTCAGCAGGATTTAATTCATTAAGCTGTTTGATGGCATGCATAATATATCTTAACATGGACAGTATCTATAATGAGTGTTAAATATTGTCTTCTGTCCAAGAGTATTCAAATGAACTTCTCCCAGTTCTTAATGGATGGATAGAAACTATATGAGTGGTAAAAAACACATTCATTTCTCTGCTATTGTTGCTGTTGTGCTTTGCATGGAATGTTTAAGCAACTGTTTTACAAGTCAAAAATTTAGCAAAAGAAAAATGCATACTGTTATTTGTAATTAGAGTATTTATGTTGAATGGAAAAACAGGGATGCCTACCCCTCCTACAGAAAATAATTATTTTCTCTTCAACAGCCATTGCAATCTGTATACTCATATCTTAAAAAGAACAGAAGGAGCTAAAAAGAATCAATCTCTGAAAAAAACATGCATTCACACACACACACACAAAGAGTGTGCCAGAATTTACAGATCTTACCACAACTCTCTCAACCATATTTTCTCCAAACACAAAACCAGAATTGCTGCTGCTTAGAACACTTCTGTCTTCTAACAACTGACTTCTGTGGGAACAAAATAAGGATGTGATTTAGAACTATTTAAAGAACACAATGTCTTTAAATAAAACAAGCATATTACTTGGTAAAGAATATAAATAAGTTCATATGTTTACTCTACCACATCTTATATTATTAAAGACAAACAAAAAAATGACCTCTTAAGCAATCAGATAAATACTGCAAAAACATAAAGGTTTCACAGAAAAGTAGTATTGTAGAATCACAGAATCACAGAACAGTTTGAGTTGGAAGGGACCATTAAAGATCATCTATTTCCAACCTCCATGTTATTGGCAGGGATATCTTCCACTAGGCCACCATGCTCGAAGCATGGATACTGGATGTTAGGAAACATTTCTTCTCTGAAAGAGTGGTCAGACACTGGAATGGGCTGCCCAGGGAGGTGGTGGAGACACCATCCCTAGAGGTGCTCAGGAAATGTTTGGATGCAGTATTAAGGAACGTGGCTTAGTGGGGACATATTGGTGTAGGTGAGTGGTTGGACTGGACGATCTTAGAAGGCTTTTCCAACCTTGATAATTCTATGATTTTATGATCTGAGTTTACAACTAAGTTTCTGTGTTTACAATGGCAGTGTGCTTGAAATCTCTTCAAGTAGGATGAAGGAATTCTTCAGTACAAACTGTGTCTATCTAGCACTTAGGAAAAAAAATATTCCTATTTTTATCTCATATTTGATGTGCTGCTAGACAAAGGAAAAATAAGAAACAAAAATCAGAAAATCAGACTTTTTGCAGCCTTAAAATCTTTCATACATGTTTTTCACCATTAAAGGGGAATCTGAAGTGTGTTTAAGCTGAATTTCTTATCTTTTAGTAAAGAAAATTCTCCAGTATATTTCACTGAATTGCAATCAATATCTATCCTAAGATTTCATCTGATATTTCCAGGTTGCTGCACCAGCAAATCAGTAAGGACAGCATTCCAGAAGAGCTAAAAAAACTGAAGCCAGAGTATTGTCTCAAACAAATAATGGGAAATGGATTTTGGGTGTTTTGAGAAATTTAAGAAAAAAAATATCAGTGCAGGATTTTTCTAGTTGTCATCATTAAATTGGAAATACCAGCCTGAGGGACTCGTTAAAATCTTAATATCCTCACTTTGCTGCAGGGCAAGAAAATGTGCCAGGAATGACATTGCCATGGAGATACAAAACAGAGGCACTGAATCCAGGGAATTACCACGAACAAAGAATAGAAGGAGAAAGTTGGAGAGGACCCTGGAGAGATAGAAGCAGATCTAGGTACTCGGCCAATCCTTCTCGATGTCCAAAAAGTTGACAGTTCTAATGCTGGCTCTGACCCCCTGCAGGTTTTCAAGCAAATCATTATGAAAACTGAATACATCATCAGAAGCCTGCATTTTCCCAGCATTGTATTTGTCACTTAAGAAATTATTTCCTTTTTTAATAATATTTTCCTTAATTCTTTTAATAGTTTTAAGTGTTCATAATTAATATTAATAACGATCATTTTAATAATTTTAATGTAATTACTGATTTCATAATCAGACTCAAGAAAACAAACTGCTCTATGCTTCAGCTAGTTCAGGAAACTGAACTGTTGGAAATAGAACTTGGGCAGCCACACCAACTATGGAGGACAAAGAAACCATTTTCATTCATCATTCTAAAGAATAGCATTACATAGAGAACAAGCAGAAGACAGAACAGGACATCCTCAGATTGAGTCTCCTTCCTTTTTTTTTTTTTTTTTTTTTTTTAAATGTACACAGATGTCGATATCTTCACCATGATTAATAATTAAACTGACAAGATTTTTTACTTTGTAATCTGCAGGCCTTGGCTGCATTGGTTGTTACTCTTTAGCATGCATATGGAATTAAATAGAGTTGTTTGTTTGAATATCTGTGAGAAAAGAGCTATGCCAGAAAAAGATTCCAATGAAGTATTTTAAAGAAACAAGCACTTTACACAGATCAGAAGAAAGGTACTGGTACCCCTCTGTAATGCTGGAAGAACAGAAAGCACCTGGCCATTTTTAAATGAATATTCAGCTTGGCAATTAACTTAACATTTTACCACAGTTCTGATGCATTAAACTAATCAGGCACCAAGCAGATGAGAAATGCCTTTTAAAAATGAAAGGAAAATTAACACTGTAAGAACTTTCAAGTCCTGCAACTGGTCAGTACTGAAACACGGCAAAGCATTTCTCTATTCATCTATTTCAGAAAAGACAGCCACTTAGCTGTCCTTTCCTAGACACTGTGCAGGTGTCAGAGGGTAAGTGGATTTGGAATATTGGTATCAATTGATCTGAAGGTGGCAGTGTCTTCCTTTAGCTTTTACTATCATTCTGAATCTCCTAAAATCCAGTATGTTGTGTGGCTCCGTCTTGTCCTCACAGGGTTTCATCACAGCATTAACTGTGATTGACAGGGGGAGGTTGACTCTTCCAAAACCACCATTGTGCATCTCTGCTTTAGTAATGCTTTTCTTATCAATAAAGATTAAGAATCTAAGTTGTCTGTGCATATAAAATCCCTCATCTTCTCTGAAGTCCCAAGTTCGTATGGGAGGGAGAAAGGATACAATATCAAAAATATACTGGCTGTGGCCTTAGCAATTAAATCATAGAATCATAGAATTGCTCAGGTTGGAAAAGACCATCCAGAACATCAAGTCCAACCACAACCTAACCGTACTACCCTAACTCTAACAATTTTGAAATGTTCTTCTTTCATCAGTAACTCACTTCAGGTATATTCCTGATACTCACAACTTCCAAGTAAAAAACTGTCATACACCATTAGCAAGCATTATTAATACAAAATAACCTGTCTGCACTGAACTAGTTAATCACAGAAAGGCCATTAGTATTTTCATGAGCCAGACTTCAGAGAAAGATGAGTAAATCAAAGGTCCATTTTCACACTGATATGATTTTTTTCTGTTATCCAGGGAGGTGATGATCCCAATCCAAAGAAGTCAGCTTCTTCATGCAGAAATTCAGAAGTTCATTCTGGACAATCCATGTCTGCACAAAGATGCTACTCCACTGCAGTCATCACAGCTAGTTACTCAGGCCACAAATTCTTGTATGTGTACAGATGTAGCATATCCGCTGCTTTATTCAGTGATGGTACTGCATGCTTTTCTTCATGAGTTCTGTGTCTGATATACTTACATATATTGGCAAATCATCAGTTTATGAAATGGGGCAGCTATGTCATCACAACAGAACTCTCCAAAGAAACACAAACATGACTGTAAACATTCAAAACCAAGATACAGTTTGAACTGACAAAGCTGCATGATACTGAACCAAAATAGTTTCTGGTTTTGCTAATGAGAAATGAACTGTTTCCTGGCAGGATTCCATTCCCTACGGCATACGGAACTCATGTCAGCATCCACAAATCCTGGCACCACACACAAATACCAGCGTGTACATTGTGGATTTGGACAGCATAGGTTTAGACATGCAGGACAAAAGGGCAGGCCATACACTAAGTAACCAAATGGTGTACAAATATAATAATCAAACTTACCGTGCTGTTTTAGAGCTAGAAATATTCACAGTAATAGATGACTTCACTGCTGCTTTAGAGCCTGCTGAATTCTCAGATGAGGAATAAGAGTTGTCTTCAGATAACTAGAAATAAAATAATAAAACTGGATGAATTAATCAATCCAAGCTTATTTTCTGTTATAAACATGTTTGCAAGAAATCCAGAGTCACTGAGGTTGATGTATGTGGAAATTGGTAAAGGCTTCTTCCTGCTGTACACTCAGTCAGCACCAAAAGATACAGAAAATCCCAAACTCCATTTGCCCACTCCAATATTGCAAGTTGCATTAGACTGCAAAAAAGACATGTTTTTTTAAAACAGCACTGGTTTAGCAGTTTCCACTGATTCCCTTAAAACTGATAGAGGAACTTCCTTGAAAATCATGCAGTGGAATACTGAACTGCTTTAGAATAGCTCCACGCTTTTGTTTTGTTTTGGTTTACGTTTGACTGAGCTCCAAACATATTTTTGTCAGTAAAATTACTTTTCTCCTTACCTGAATATGTGCTTGTTTCTTAGTCACTAGAGATACTGCAGGATTTTCAGGACAGGTCAGGGCTTGTGGAGGTTGTAAAATGGCAGGCCTAATAACATTCCACAGCTGACTTTCTGACAAGGATCCTTGCAAAATACAAAGACAAAATATTTAAACTGAGACATTTTCTCCACGTTTAGTTAATACCTATGTGTTTTGTTTCATTAACCGAAAGCTTCAAAGTTTATTTAAATTACTTCTATTGTTACTCTTTCCTTAGTACATATTCTTAAAAATCTTAATTCCCCTAAAACACACAACTCTGCAGGTGTTACTGCACCGTTACCCCATCAGGATAGAAGGGTATTGCATTACATGTATATAAATATTTAAACAGAAGAAATTTAAAACCTAAACGTTTGGACCTAAATATATTATACGTATACATATATTACACATTTAGGTCCAAACAAATCAATGCTGCCTTCCAGGATTTCATATTTAATCATGCACTGGCCAATGCAGACACCAAGAAGGCACTTCATTGCCTTCTCAAAGAGTGGAGTTTTATCCCTATTCAGTCATGTATTAGAAATGTGGAATTTCACTATTCAAGATTATATTCATTCCATTGAGGAATTAACTAGTCAAAGCAGAATCTCAGACCAGAGCTCAGAGAACCACCAAATAAATCACCATCAAATAAATAAATCATTAGCTTCATAAAGGCAATTAGCATATCACTCAGCTTACAGTACAGCTGTCAATTTTATCTTTTCTGAATCTGTTAACAATGTATTTTCGGAGTTACAGTGAAGGAATATTGCAATGACAATTACCTTCTTTTGTACTTCCCATGTCAATGTTTTGTCGAAGAAGAGCTGAGGTCATGAATATGTTGCTCTTCTTTGCTATGAATAAGGAATTTAAACTTGATTAACAACTAATGATAAACTTTAAAAGATTAATCAACATTTGTGCAAGTCCTCCCCACTTTGGTAGTGTCTAAGCAATATCCTAACTTATCCATCTGAACAACTCTTACTGACTTATGCACAGCAAGTAGCATGGGTTTTCTGGTTCTGCCAGAGACTGAAGTCTTTTGAACATTAACAGATGCATTAATCTCTGAAAATATTCAGCTTTGAAAACCAGGTGCTGCTAGTAAGCAAAGCTGTTGAAATGGCAACACTATCTGGTTCCATCTAATGATCTTCTCAGATGAGTAAATGAGACCTGAGAACATGGGAAGAGATTAATACACCCTGCCCTTGTTCTTACAAAAAGGATTTTGTAATTTACTACAATGATGGCATTGTACTAGTGGTATTTTCACCATTTTTACAAAGACAAAAAACAGCAACCAGAAACATGTCAGTAATAGCAACCACATATCATATCCTGTAAATGTACACAAGTGATAAATACTCCACACATGATCACTGCTTTTTAATGGCAGGAAGAATGTCATTTGTTACTGTAACACTATCCTTGTAAGACTGTTTATAATTCCCTCATGCCAAAGTCTGTCAAAGACCTGCTCCTGACAGGACAGACTAGGATTTCAGTCCACTCTGTCTTCTCCAGTATAAAGGAGTGAGAGAATGTTCGTAATGTCACTAGTCAGATCAAAGACAGGCTCCTGGGACAAAAAAATGAAGCTTGTACAGGAGCAACAACTATTAAATTAAAGCAAGCAAACTAAATAATTTAATTACTTTAACTCCATTTTGGTTTTTCAGTTACTATTTCTACCAACACAATAAAATGTCTATTGGCAACTCATTCAAAGATTCCTCCCTATTGTGGGATTCCCTAAAACCAAATGCAAAAAACATTTATTCTATTGAGCCGCCAACTCTCCTAACATATTTCATTCTTCTGTCCAAATAACAGCCTAGCTCAATCATGTTCAGCTCTGTCCTTGTTCTGTAGGAAGGCAGTTCTGTACACCTCTTGATTTTAGGTAATGTATGCTTTGCTGTGTAAATATATATTGTTGTCATTTTTTTTTTCTCACTTACCTGGCTGGGAGGGAGGGAACCTAGGAAGAACGGTAAAGGAAGATGATCTTCTTCTTTTCTCAGCAAGTGTTGTATCTGAAAGAATAATAAACTGAAATTAATATTATTTGGAACAAAACAAGATTAATTTAAAGTTAGACAGATAATTTATTCTGCTTAATTGACAGCAGAATAAATTATTTTCTGCTATCTACTGCTTTCTGAAGGATACTACTAGGTTATGTTGATACTGCTGAACTGAAGACATCTCTGAGGCCAAGTAGCACAGCCTGGTTCAGATCAACTGCTTACATCTAGCCTACTCTACAGTGGTTTTGTCTCGGAGAACATCAGTTGGTGAGGTTCAAAACAGAAGTAGGGAATTAAGATATCAGTCAGTATTTGGACAACCAAGAGAACTAAGCTTGGTTTTGCATCCTACTTCATATTTTGATGCAAACATACTCTAAAATTTCTACCCTATGTATTTTTTGTACATGATCTCAGTGTAATTTTTAGTTTGAGCCCAACTTAGGTTATCTTAAATCCTTTTAGTTATGTTCAGGTTTGTCACAGAACTAAATGAAAATATCATTCATGCACAGTAATTTATAAATACTAAAGCAATCTCCCGGTCACACTCCCAGGTTAAATAAATACTATAAAAAAGTGACCAGTCCTACTGCTTAACACAGTGACTTGTGTGCACTTCTTCTGGACATCATAGATGAAAAACACATTCCTCAAAGGAAATTTGAGGTCATCTGTAGTTAGATGAAAAGAGAAGTCCTTCTGAAAATTACTTCATATTTTCAGGAACTGCCCAAGGAACAAAAATCTCTTCCACAATCATGGCATCTCATTCCTGTCTAGCCCTCTTTTTCTACTGACTGACTGATCTCATCAAGGAAACTTATGAAATATATACATTTTTAAGTGTTTATGTAATATTATGTTAATACAGCAAAATAATGTATTTTCACTTTGAGAAGCACTTACTAAAAATTACCATGAAAGCTAACATAAATGTTAGCATGTTTCTACCATGCGAAAACAATTCTTGGACAGAAAAACTCCTTCACTTCTTTAGCAGACAAGAGTACAAAACTACAGTTATTACAACATGACAGGACTCCAATGGCATACCTATGTTAGATTCTGAGCCAGACTTCTGGAAAACACAAGATGATGATCTTGCACGTTTTTTGGAACAATAGATGAAATCTAGAGAAAAGCAAATATAATTTCCTGCAGGGATTGATTGGCAGGTGATTTCAGCACAGTGTTATGATAAAGAATCAAGACCTGAACACAATAAATTCTAGGAATGATTTACAGAACAGTCTTAAAACAATATAGAAAAGCAAAACAGGGTCTTGGCATCTCTGTCAGGACTTGGCAGGAAGCCCTAGGGAGTTTTCTGCTAATTTCAGGGGACCTAAAATTAAGTCATTGCAATCAGATCATGGCCCACAGGCTTGGAAGGCACTAAAAATGATAAGCTGCTTTATATTATAGCTTCAAGAAATAGAAAAGGGCAGTTCAGAGCAAATATAGCATATGAATATACTTGGACTCTCTTCAGGGCTTCTTTTAGTCTGACTTTCTGATGAACATGAGAGGTAAGATGCCAAGAGGAATTCTTGAGGTAAGACAGGGACATACATATTGGGATATAGAAGGTGGCTCAACATCCCACGTAATCTTAGACTATTAACAGGCATTTGTCCCAGCTCATACAAAATAAAGTTCCATACACACTTTTCAATTCCAAACTGTCTTTCCAGTCAGATCCTATGAATATATCAGTGTATTATTATACCATTTCAGTGATGTGGTTATTACCATTTTCAGCTTTGCAAACTGGATCTTCAGCAGGCCGCTGGAAAAAAAAAATATAAGTGAGGAAGGGTCAAGGAGAATAGAGCAGCCATTTTCTAGAGCAGGTCACAAAGTATATCAGTCCAACATATGTGTATTAAAACCAATCTCATTTCTACTTTTCCCTTTTCCTTGTTCTGTTTTACTCTCAGTTACTGCAAGCCTTATGCTGGGCTAAAATCTTTTATTACTACTAGAATCATTGTCTATACAATCCTCATTTCCAATATTCTTTTATCAGTGATGCAAAACAGAAGTTAAAGTTTTTACCTTCAAAGGGTGGTCCTTCTTTCCAAACACAAATGTTGGCTGGGCAAGCACTGATCTCTCTGGAAAGGAGACATTTTTAAATAACAATCTCATAACAGAGATTCATCTTATCAACCAAAGTTCTTAAAGTGCTATGCAGTAATGAGCAAGACTATCTCTTTGTTAGAGATGAATAAAAGCCACAATGATGTAAGCAATGTCCATAGCTAAAAATAAAAGAGTTAGTCCCTCAAATCCCAGGATGAGTTTTACCTAACTGAAGGCCACAGGATTTGGCTTTGATATTTTTATGCCTCTTTTAGTTAAGAAGAAGGACTTGCCTTTAGCCTTTACAAACAACATGTCTGATTTTGTAGTGTAAGCAAACTTTAAATTCCATCTGGATACCAGTAAGTTTTAGGGGACTACATAATAGTAATGACATATTGGTTTTCAGATCTCACTGAGTAGTAAGATTGGAAATTACATGTTCTCTTCCCCTCATGTCCTGTGCAAAGTTCGTGCTTATGCCCCTATGAAGTTAAAAAGCATGCTCCCTTGATTTTTGATGGATGTAAATTTGGACCATCTCTCCTATCATTTTAATACTGGGTCTGTGTACAAAGAGCCTAACAACTTCTGCTCCTCTTCAGAGTAATATTCACTTACTCCCATTCATGCTGCGTGACTCTTTTCTTGTTCCTTAGAACAAGAATTAGAAAGCATCTTTCCTCTCTTCCAAATTGCTTTCTCATATTTGTTTCTTATGATATCCGAGTATCTATTTTGAAATCACAGAACAGAAATGGTCCTCAGGAGAGACATCCAGTTTCTCTGGTACATCATCTACACCTGTGTCATTCTGACAACTGAATGCCTAACACCTAACCTGTTCCTGAAACCCTGCCATAAAGGAGACTTTACAGCCTTCCCAGTCAATGTTCAGTTATACACACTGGACATGGAAAATGATTCATGTCAGAACTATCAACAGAAATTTTCCCTAATGTCAAGTCTGACCTTCTTCCTGCATTTAAGCATGTTCTCTGTGGACTGGGAAACAATGTGTTCCTTCTTCAAAGCATTCAGAGGTATCTTTAAAGTCTCAATCCACTTTTATCCTCTCCTATGAATCCATGGATCACTCACTGGATAACAAATTATCTGGGTGGTGGCACTCAGAGGGTTGCAGTGGATGGCTCAGTCTCCAAGTGGACACTGGTCATGATGAGAGGCGTTCCTCAATAACTGGTGCTGGGACCAGTGCTATTCAACATCCTCACAGGAAACTGTGGGATTGAGTGCACCCTCAGCAAGCTTGCAGATGACACCAAGCTGAGTGGTGTGGTTGACACACTAGAGGGAAGGGATGCTATGCAGAGGGATCTGGACAGGCTTGAGAGGTGGACCCATACCAACCTCATGAAGTTCAACAAGAACAAGGTCCTGCATTTGGGTGGGGACAATCCCAAGCACATATACAGGCTGGGCAGAGAATGGCTTGAGGGAAGCCCTGAGGAGAAGGATTTGGGAGTGTCGGTTAATGGAAGATTCAGCATGAGCTGGCAATGTGTGCTTGCAGCCCACAAGGCCAACTGTATCCGGGGTTCAATCAAGAGAAGTGTGACCAGCAGGTTGAGGAAGGTGATTCTGCCACCCTACTCCACTCTCCTGAGACCCCACCTGGAGTATTGCATCCAGTTCTGGGGTCCCCAGCACAAGAAGGACATGGAGCTGTTGGATGGGGTCCAGAGGAGAGTCACAAAGATGATCAGAGGGCTGGAGCACCTCCCTAATGAAGACAGGTTGAGAGAGTTGGGGCTCTTCGATCTGGAGAAGAGAAGGCTCCAAGGGGATCTTAGAGTGGCTTTCCGGTACCTGAAAGAAGCCTACAGGAGAGCTGGGGAGGGACTTTTAATAAGGACAGACTGCAACAGGATGAGGGGAAAACCCTTTAAACTGGAAGAGGGAGTAGATTTAGACTAGAAATTAGGAAGAAATTCTTTACTCCGGGGGTACAGGAACAGGTTGTGGATACCCCTACACTGGAAGCATTCAATGCCAGGGAGGCGTTCCTGCCTATAGCAGGGAGCTGAAACTAGATGATCTTAAAAGTCCCTTCCAACCCGAACCACTCTATGATTCTATGTGTTTATCAAATAGAATACAGGAAACACATCTGCTTCTGAAACAACACAAAATCCAGCATGTTGAGCCATCAAATGCTTATGTATACATTTATGCATGATGCTCCCTTAATTCAGTATATATACATATAAAGAAACTATGTTCAGCAATCAGCACAAAAACAGAGTAACATAGCAGAAAGGGGACCATACTCAGATCACAATGAGCATGCAGAGACTGAACTAAAATATCACTGTACTAGAAGGTTTGAAAAATGCATACACTCAGTGTTTGATTGTATTCGTAATTTTGAGACACATCATTTTTGTCCAATTCATAATGCTGATACTAAGAATGACTCAGAATACATTGCATGCTGTGGTTTGGTATGGTTGTTTGTTGAGCTCCCTCTCCATTTCTTTCATAATTTCCATCCTGGTCTTCATATTATTTTCCAGATTATAACTGTGATACTTCTTACTGTGACAAATGTGCAGCAGGGAGAAGAGGCATACATTCCTGACCTGTGCTTAAAGAAGAAGGAAGAACTGCATTTCTGGTTCTCAGGAAAATGCAGGAATCTGAGATGAAAATGATCCGAGAAGGAGAGCAAGGAAACAGGTTCACCCTGCCTACTCTTTATGCATTAGGGAAGAGGATGTCTCGTGTTAGTTTTAATACATGAGTACAACACAGAATTATAGAATAACAGAATGGCATGCATGGGAAGGGACACCAATGATCGTCAAGTTCCAACCCCCTGCCATAGGCAGGACTAACCAACCTCCAGACTTTGTACTAGAACAGGTTGCCCAGGGCTCCATCCTACCTGGGCTTGAACAACTCCAGTGATGGAGAATCACAGCCTCTCCAGGCAGCCTGTTCCCTGTGAAAAACTTCCCTCAATACCCAATCTAAACTTCCCTCCTTGAGCTTAAAACCATTCCCCCCTGTTCTATCGTTGTTTACCCATGTAAAAAGTTGATTCCTCCCCTATTTATAATCCCCTTTTAAATACTGGAAGGCTGCAATAATTTCTCCTCACAGCTTTCTCTTCTGAATGGATGAAGAAGCCCAGTTTCCTCAGCCTGTCTTTGTAGGGGAGATGCTCCAGACCTCTGGTCATCTTTAGATTGTTTAGATTGTTAGAGAGGGATCTCCAGACCCTCTCTAACAGCTCCATATCTTTCCTGTATTGTGGGTTCCGACATAGAAACATACACATTCTTAGAGTCCAAATGTTACTCTCATGCATAACTGTATGTTTTTAGGCTCACAAACCTAACTGTGAACAAAACACACTATCTTGATATCAGTTTTTTAAAGGATTACTAAACTGTTAACAACTGTAAACACAGAAGAGTTAATATCACTAAATAATTATATTTTCAAATACTGACAAAAATTACAAAAAAGGTAAACATTGTTAAAACAAATGCTGCATGTAATCTGGGGCAAACAGCATGACACTTTACTGATAGCCAGTGATCTATAGGTACAGCAGTAACACCTAATACTTTTGTTGCTACTGAAGTTAATTTTGCAGTTATGTTCATGCAAATGACTGAATTTAGCAAACGTGGTAGGCTTTGTGGTCTGATTTGTCCTTTTTAGGGAAAGCAGAAAAAAAAAAAACCACATTGTTCAACTCCCAAAATGATAATTCTCTGTCACCAGAAGTTAAAGAAAATTTCCATAATTCACTTGCAGCTGGTGGTCCATGGCAGGACATGAGATGGAGCAATTCCACTTCTATTCACTAGAAGGGAGTGGCTCACATAAACAATAGTGTTTCAATGGAAAGGGGGAAAAAAAAGAAAGAAAAAAAAAAGAAAAAAAGAAAAAAAAAACCTGTACTCCTTTCGAATGAAGGAAAAACAAAAAAGAAATCAAGCATGATTAGAGAATCTTCCTATTCTTCACATTCATCTCGAAATTAGTAATATTTATAAAAGTACATTTGCTTCTCCAAAGCATGGAACTAGGAAAGAGTAAACTGCTGTGAAAAAAGAAGTGACCTTCTTCCTCAGTTAATTTTTGTTGGAACTAAAAGTCTCTTCACAGGAATTGGGAAAGTTCACTCCAATTTAAACAACATCAAAATTCCAGTAACAGTTTAAAACACAGAAGTTACTGAAGAAAAATTCACAACTGCTTCATTACCAACACAGAAATGTGTAGCCAGAATATAACAGTACCTCCTAAAGAAAAATACGCATATTTTGACACAGTAGTAAATATAAAAGGTACTTCCCATCAAGTATTTTGGAGACAAAGGGAAAGCTTTCTTGGTCAGAGTATATTTAGTAAGAGGTTGCTGATGCTGGTACAGTTACCATAGTTAGGGTTCCGATCTGCATCCACCAAGAAAATCTTTTTGTAATTCCAGAAAAGCTTCCATATAGTTCATTAGTTAGATCCTCAATCAGGCCATTTACATCAGTTTTTACTTTACATCAGTTTCCCATTGCATTTTAACCTCAGTTAGCTAAATACAAAATATCCACAGCTGATCTGCAGTGACAAGTCAATGCAGAATTACTTGTGGATCTAATACACAACAGAATCAAAGAGTTACAGCAATTATGTCACCATGCTAATTTTAACATTGGCAAGCAACTCTGTGTTTTTCTTCTTGCTTTTCTATGTTAAGGCTGCTGCTCCCAGGGCTGGCAGCAGTGTGCTGGGAGAAGGAGAAGCCCTTTTGCAGCTTCCTCTCCAGGCAGTGGTTGGGGGCACCCAGCCAGGCAGGGCCTGGCCCTGTCTCAGGATAAGGCAATGGCAGCCAAGACTCCATGCAGGCAGACACGGGGAGGGAAAATGAGGTGGTCTGAAGCAACCATTCCTCCTCCTAATCAACAGGACACGGTCAGACCAGGCTGGCTACTACCTGGTTAACACTGGGTTGCTCCAGTCCTCAGTGGCTTGGTAATTCTCGGTACTTCTTGGGCTG